TCTTTCCTCCAGAAGTTTTCCTCCTGTCCTTCTGCAGTTAATTCTCCGACCCCAAACCATCCCATGCCTTGAGCACCACCCATCTGCTTTCTGCCACAGTGGATTAGTTTTGAGACCTTTTTAGGCCTGAGAGATCTTGGTTAGTAACGAGACAAAGAATTCAGAATAAAGGGCTCATTAAATACGGGTGAGATAGGCTCTGGGAGACAAAGGTATTGGAATACATACCAGGACCCCAGTGACACAGGTACCACACTGGGGCCTGTGCACAAACATGTCGCCTTGATTGATCAAGGTTAGGGCCGACTTTCCCGTGGGAAAGTTACAGATGAATGTTGATGTGGAAAAACCAAGATCACAGTTTTCTGAAAGAGAGGAAATATAGAGAATATATTATGTCCTCTTTGTTATAGTTCTTTTGTTCATATTTTTTCTTACTCAGGGTCCTAGAGGAGGCAAGAATATTCTTCTAGAAATTTATGACCCATGCGCAGACTCTTCCTCTTGTTCGTGGGAGGAAGAGTTTCCCCCTCGTTCTTTGTTCCATCCTAAGACAGGTAGTGAGGACCTAGAGCACTGACAGTCATAAAAAATTGCTAACAGAGAGGGCTGCACTGGCCTAAGACGCCTCTGTGCAGACAGTACGGCAAGTCTGCAAAATTACAAAAAAATATTAGATAAAATGTGGCATATTCAACTCTGCACGGTCTTAACCTCAGATGAGAAAATTAAATATTTCCAAGCAGAGAATTTAGGTGGTTTGGAATGTCCACGGGGTGCTTTGTTAGAACTGACATGTGCTGTGCTCTGTGCTGTTTCAGTCGTGTCTGACTCTTCACGACCCCATGGACTGTATAGCCCGCCCAGGCTCCTCTGTCCATGGAATTTTCCAGGTGAGAATACTGGAGAGGGTTGCCAATTCCTACTCCAGGGGACCTTCCTGACCCAGGGATCCAGGCTGTGTCTCTTACATCTCCTGCATTGGCAGGTGGATTCTTTACCACAGGGCCATCTGGGAAGGCCCTAGAACTGTCATGCTAGCTAAATCACCACAACGAATATGTGGTTCCATTAATTGCCTGAGGCCAGTATTTGATTACCCAGAACACAACCAGATGCATACTTGGCAATGTCTTTCCTATTCAGTTATTTTGATAACCTTGTAAGAGCGTGGCCATGGCCAGTCACCTAGGCTCCTTCTCTTGGTGATGGAGCGCTGCTTCTGTGGACCCCTGATCAGGTGCTGCCTGATCGAGACTCTAATCTGATCATTAAAATTGAAGATTCATTACTAATAAACATGAGCAACCAGAATTAAATATTTTTTTACTAATAAACCCTACATTGCAAATATTGGTTACTCAAAAGTTTCTTGATTTTTTTTTTTTAATAGAGACAAAGTGGAAATAACCCACCCTTTCCTTTTTTGGCAAGCAAGCAAGATTTCCTTAAATTCTTGAGTCAAATACATTTGAATCAGTTCTAATGAGGTGGATGAACTGGAGCCTATTAGACAGCGTGAAGTAAGCCAGAAAGAAAAACACCAACACAGTATACTAACGCATATATATGGAATTTAGAAAGATGGTAGCGATAACCCTATATGTGAGACAGCAAAAGAGACACAGATGTATAGAACAGTCTTTTGGACTCTGTGGGAGAGGGCGAGGGTGGGATGATTTGGGAGAATGGCATTGAAACATGTATATTATCANCATAGAATTAGGAAACTTCAATGGAGGAAGGACACGGAGCATTCAAAGACATTAAGACTTCTCAGCTGAATGATGCTGAACAAATGCGACAAAGAATATGAAGCCACGAAGGCTTAAATGACAAGGGTCTGAGGGTAACACCAGCCAGGAAAGAAAGAAGGAACAGTGATGGGGGCTTAGGACAGGGCAGTTAGGAGCATGCCAAGCCCGTATCCTCCAACACCTCCCACCACATCCACCACCACACAGAGTCACTGCAGGCAGAGGGTCACAACTACGATAATGAGCTGAACAGTCAGAGAAACAACCGAGCATTCCTGAATGCGATGGCGGGGAAAACCACCACATAGACATAGCTCTCTTGTTACGGGTGGCTCCTAGTTCCTACAGGGCCTCTGGTTTCTTTTTCCTCTGAGCTGCTTGCCCTCAGCCTGGGCCTAGGCTTTCGGTAAAACATGGCCCCATGGTGGAGACAAAGCGGTCACACCCACTCTGCCGAACCTTCTGGTGGGCTCTGCTGACTTGACCTTAAACTGAGTCCAGAAAGCTGTCTGCCAGCTTCCACCGGCTGTCCTGACTGACTCTGCTGCTGCTGAGTTCCTTTGGTCACTTTCAACTCTGGGCAACTCTGTGGACTGCAGCCCACCAGACTCCCCTGTCCATGGGGTTCTCTAGGCAAGAGTACCGGAGTGGGTTGCCATACCCTCCTCCAGGGGATCTTCCTGACCCAGGGAATGAACCCGGGTCTCCTGCACGGCAGGCAGATTCTTTACTGCTGAGTCACCAGGCAAGTGCCTGGTTGACTCTGCTGCTGCTAAGTCGCTTCAGTTGTGGCCAACTCTGTGCGACCCCATAGACGGCAGCCCACCAGGCTCCCCCGTCCCTGGGATCCTCCAGGCAAGAACACTGGAGTGGGTTGCCATTTCCTTCTCCAACGCATGAAAGTGAAAAGTGAAAGTGAAGACACTCGGTTGTGTCCGACTCTTAGTGACCCCATGGACTGCAGCCCACCAGGCTCCTCCGTCCATGGGATTTTCCAGGCCAGAGTACTGGAGTGGGGTGCCTTTGCCTTCTCCATGCCTTTGCTAATCAAGGTCATTTTACTTATTGTTCAAAAGACGCGCAGGTCCTCTGAGCTGCGTGTGGCCCAAACAGGAAGATGTTTGTCCAAGTGGTTTTCTAGGAATTGGTCTCAGGTGTGTCTAGCTCAAGCTGAGCTGGTTTAGACTGGATAGGACCATCCACCTAGGCATGCCGAGTCTGCTGGGTGACCTTTTGATGTGGGAGTGCTAAAACCTCCATCCTCAGACAGTACTAAGTGCCTCTGCTTTTCTATGTGCAGAGGCCCGTAGCTTACTTACACTTGTGCAGATTTACCACATCCTTTTTCAATCACACCCTCCACACCTCAGACCACCCTGCTCCCTTAGTCTCTGTGTCCTTAACACCCAGAGCCCCTTGCCTTCAGCAAGCGGGTTTGAACTGGTTCTCTCTCTGCTCTGACTGCCTTGTGAGTAAATTCTTTGTTTCCTGCCGTCTCAGAGATTTTGCTTGCTGCCCATCAGGCAAAACAAACCTGGTTCTGTAAGCCCGACTAAAGGAAAGAGCAGGCGTGAGGCAAGGAGGCCGCAACAGGGCGGAGTGCAGGCTCCTGCTGGATGTCCTGAAGCTGTGGGGCTCTGTGCAGCCCCCAAGTGCCCCAGGGGGGAGAGAGGTGTGTGGAAGACGTTGCTACTTTATCGTTTTACCTGGCTGTGAACATTTCACCATTTAAACGTTTCTTTTGTTACTCTTTCATGTGTAGAGTCATTATGTAAAATCTTCAGAAGCAACAAGTTTCACATTTTGTTTCACACTATAGTTTCTTTCTTGTCTGGTTGCTTTCCCCATTAAATAGCACAGTTTCCTCCTAGGCACATTTTTGGGAAGCACCTTTATAGAGTGTGTTGAGTGCCAAGAGATTACTATGTCAGTCAGTTCAGTCACTCAGTCGTATCCACTCTTTGTGAACCCATGGACTGCAGCACGCCAAGCTTCCCTGTCCATCACCAACTCCCAGAGCTTGCTCAAACTCATGTCCATAGAGCTGCTGATGCCATCCAACCATCTCATCCTCTGTCGTCCCCTTCTCCCCCTGCCTTCAATTTTTCCCAGCATCAGAGGCTTTTCCAATGAGTTGGTTCTTTGCATCAGGTGGCCAAAGTATTGGAGTTTCAGCTTCAGCATCAGTCCTTCCAATGAATATTCAGGGCTGATTTCCTTTAGGATGGACTGGTTGGATCTCCTTGCAGTCCAAGGGAATCTCAAGAGTCTTCNATTGATATTTCTCCCGGCAATCTTGATTCCAGCTTGTGCTTCATCCAGCCTGGAATTTTGCATGATGTACTCTGCATATAAGTTAAATAAGCAGGGTGACAATATACTATAGATATGCTAATGTAAATTAATTAAGAAAAGTGATTCAAATCTTGTTTCTGCCATGGACAGAGTAGCCTGTTGGGCTATACAGTGCATGCACGGGGTTGCAAAGAGTCGGACACAACTAAGCGACTGAACACATTTAGAGTCTGGGGTGATACTAGGTAATTTGCATGTAACTAAAAGTAAAAAGCTTCATATGTGGAAATTTTGACTAAAATTGAGACCATTAAAGCTAACCTAGTAGCAGTTTATTTGTAAGCATATGAAAAATTTGTGTGTTACCTTTGGGTCCTAAGTAAATTTTATTTCCACTAACATGTATACAGGCTACACAGGCAAATGGAGATACAGGTCCAGGAAAAAAAAACTATTTTTTTGGCCTTAGTTATGTACATAATTAGGAGAGTCTGAGTCAAGTCCATAGTTTCTCATAACTGAGTAGCCCAATACCTAGAGAACGACTGATTTTTACATTTAGTGCATCACTTCTGAGTAGTAGTCAGATAGATGAATGTCAGCTGAGCTAATGCTTTCTTATTAACCCCAAAGCTGTAAACTATTGAGTAATCAGTTCTAGCTCTTGGCTATGTAGGGCTCAATATCTGCTCCCTTCACCATTTCAAAGGAAATGGGAAGGTAGTGATATTGCCTTTATCAACAGTTCCTTAGGCTTGATTCATAAAAGTATCTTGTTAAATATGAGACAAATCATTGAAATATGAGACAAAATCCATTGGAAAGGTAAATAGGAAATTTTGATATTAACACGTATTCTTCAGGGTAGGTTTCCATGTTGTCAAGAAATGAACAGAGCATACCAGGAAAATCTTATTTCCTATTATTAACTTTGTATTTATTTTTCAGAATAGGAATTCATCTTTTATGATCCAGTTATGTTCCTAAATGAAGTTATTTGATGACTACAGTCCAAAGATAGCTTCTATCAACTCCTAGGTATTTATTGTCTCTACATATTCATGCTCCCTTAGAATTATACCTTTTCTCCTAAGTTTTTTTGTGGTAAAATATACATAACATGAAACCACCATCTTAATCATGTTAAGCATACAGTTCAGTGGTATTAAGTACGTTCATATTCTTGAGCAACCATCGCCAGTACTTTTCCTCTTGCAAAACAAACTCAATACACATTAAACAGTAACTCTTTACTCCTAGTTATACTTTTTGGTATGAATGCTCTCCAGTTTTATCACTCAAACTACACTGTAAGCCCCTATAGGGAGCAGTTATGTATTAGTTACATAACATACACATTTGTTACTTACTGTCAGTTCCTGTTCCAAGTGCTTTGCAAATATTAACTTGCATAATTATTCATCTTTGTATGTTGCAGAGGGTCTAGCATGTGCTTTGCATGTGGGACACATAAAATATTTGTGGAATGAATTTCGGTACTATTTAAGCATTTCCAAGTGACTGTGGCTGTTCTTCTGGTTGGAAAGTTACCTTGGGGAAATTTATTTGGGGAATAATCCGACACTGGGTGCAAGTTTAAAGAAATTATTTTAGCCACACNCCGGGGCCTGGGCGGGGCGCGCGACGGCACCGGGCGGCGATGGCGGCGGACGGGGACTGGCAGGATTTTTATGAGTTCCAGGAGCCGGCCCGGAGCCTCCAGGACCAAGAGAACTGTAACGCGAGCCCCGAGGCCGCAGCAGCGCCGGGCGGGGGTGGCGACGGCTTCCCAGCGCTGGCCTGCCACTTGGAGGAGAAGCTGAGCCTGTGTTTCCGCCCCTCGGGTCCGGGTGCCGAGCCCCCGAGGGCGGCTGTGCGGCCCATCACCGAGCGCAGCCTCCTGCAAGGGGACGAGTGAGTGCGGGCCCAGGCCGGGAGCGGGCGGGAGCCTCCCCTGCCCCTCGTCCAGCCCCTCTCGCCCTGCCCACTGGCCCGGGGTCAGCAGCCTCGGCGGGACTCCGACCGCAGGCTCCTCCCCGCTCTCTCCTTCCGCCTCCAACTCTGGAGTCCCGCCCCTCTCAGTTCTCCCACCTCCTTCCTTGAGGCTTTCGGCCTCTGAGCGCCTGGGAATTTAAATCTCGTGTTCTCCTGCCCCTCTACGAGTCCTTACGCCTCCTCCTGCTTCCTGGAAGCCAACCTCTGTTTGGTTTTGAGAGGAGTCTTCTGTACTGAGCCTCATAGTTGCAGATAGTACTTCCTCGGGCACATGTGTAGTCATTCATTCGCTCAGCTAGAATTTATTAAGCGCCTGCTACGTGCTGCTTCGCACTGGGAATACCAAGGTGACTGGACATTGCCGCTGTCAAGCAGAGCGCAGCCCAGGGTGGAAGCTAGATTTGTAAACAAACATTTTATGGATGTTACAAACGCACTGATACATGTGCAAAATACAGGAGATTTTGTGCATGTGTGTATGAAGAAAGACTTCATAGAGAAAACTGGATCCTGATGGATGAGTGGGAGTTTGCCTGGCAGGTGAAGAAAGGTTACTAGTATTCTAGCTCAGGGATACAGTGCATGCAAAGGTACTGACGTTGAAGCAGCCTGTATGCCACAGGAGATTATTGGCTTCATTTGAGAGCTCAGGTTGAGAGCGAGTGCCCACAGAGGCAAAAAGGAAAAGATCTAGTTATTAATAGGAAGGATCACCTAGTCTGGTAGGGAGATCGGTGCATAAACAGGTAACTACTGCAGGGCAATGGTCAGAAATTCACCGGGATTTATGAGAGCTAGGAGAATGGAGGGTTATTTAACCTCTCAGAACCCCAGTTATAATTTAGTTAAACAAGGGTTGTTATGCACCATAGTTTTCCTCCAAAAGATACTGAAAGGAATGAGAGTGAGGGATTTGACAATATTGTAATGTAGGGGGAGAGGAGCTCTGGAGAGCCTGAGGGTAAAATTACAGAGTAAACATTGAGGTTGTGGGTAGAGATGGATTTTCGGAGCATTGATGGGATGGATAGAATAGAGGTTAGGGAAGAATGCTTCAGCTGAAGCTCCAATACTTTGGCCACCTGATGCGAAGAGCCGACTCACTGGAAAAGACCCTGATGCTGGAAAAGATTGAAGGCAGGAGGAAAAGGGATGAGATAGTTGGATGGCATCACAGACTCAATGGACGTGAGTTTGAGGAAACTCTGGGAGATGGTGAAGGACAGGGAAGCCTGGTGTGCTGCAGACCATGGGCTCACAAAGAGTCAGACTGAGCGATTGAGCAACAACAAAAAATGCTTGAGAAGAAGGCTCCTTGGGCAAAGGAAGGGGCTTGTCATTTGATGGTTTTCTTTCCTCTGTGAATCAGAAGATTTATCAGGAGGAGGGAGCTGGGAATGGAGGCCAGTGGCTTAGCTAGCAGTGGTTCAGGGCCAGCTCTGTTTAAAGATCATGTCTTTTCATTGGTCCCTCTGTACAGTGTTCAGCCCCGGCATAGAAGGAAGAGTTTATGATTGGATATTATATACACAGATATGCAAGCTTCCCAGGTGCCTCACAGTGATGAAGAATCCCCTGCCAGTGCAAGAGACACAGGTTTGATCCCTGTGTTGGGAAGATCCCCTGGAGTAGGAAATAGCAACCCATTTCAGTATTCTTGCCTGAAGAATCCCATGGACAGAGGAGCCTGGTAGGCTACTCTCCATAGGATCACAAAGAGTTGGACACGACTGAGCCTGCAGTCAGTGGCAAAAGACATTTTAAGCAGTCTATTCCCCCAAAGAAGATAGTGTTATGCATAGATTTATATACTCAGAATCACTAGACTCAGGATGTACTCTGGATTTTAAAATCATTTATTATATATTTGGGTTTATCAAGAGTAGCTTATCAAAACGAATTAATGGTTTGTACACAGATAAGATTCCCTATTTTTCATTCACCTGTCCTGTCTGAAAAGGAGTGTGTTTTAGCCTTTGCTTAATTAAACCTTAGGTTGATACAAAACTTTAGTTACTCTTGATAATGACTTCTCGTAGATATTACATTGGTGGTGCTGCATGTTGCTTGATTTGGGAATGCGTAAGAAATCAATCTTTTCTAAGCAGGAGTTGCCTACCACTCTCATGGTCTCTGTTCTGTTGCATAAACATGCTCTCCATTGCTTGATAGAGTTCAAATTCCTGTTCCTTTCACTAGAGAGAGTTGAGAATTCTTTCACTCAGATAGGGCCCTGCCTTAGGGCACTTTATTCTTTTCTGAGTCCCAGTTTTAGTTTTGGTTACATACAGATTGTGCTTATTGGCTAAAGTTTTACTTTAGAAGGGTCTAGTGAGGGACTGAATGTCAGTGAGACTTTGACCTCCTTTGGAAAAGAGCTGCCCTGCTAGTTGTTTATGACTGGCTGTAATGCTTTATGATAAGGATGAAGGCAGTTTCTGTCTTGATTGGAGTATTCTAGAAATCTTTCAGTTAATCCAGCCTTGTGTCCTTTCAACCACAAATGTTCTGGCCTTGGTGAAGATAGAGGACTGTGACTTGTCCTTCATTTTCTTGGGAGATCAAATTCACCCACAGTCAATGATTCTACATGAAATCTTCCGTCCCACTTGTCCTTTTATTATGGCCTCAATTAAGAAGGAAAAAACAGCAGACAAAACAAACCTCAAAAACTCTGGACCGTCTTCACCTACTAGAATATCCTCGTGGTTCCTGACCAGGGTTAGGTGTATGGTCAGTCATTTAGTATTTGAAAATTTTCTACCCGGGACGAGGTGGGCCAGCAAGTTTAGCAACCCACAGTGTTTCCAATTTGAGCATATTGGCATTAGAGGAAATGAGGATTCCAGCAGAGAGGAGGATAGGAATGAACTATGCTTATGAGGGATTTGCTGGATAAATGAGCCAGTTTTCTTGAGAGTTTTGTGTTCACATATTCATGGAGGCTAATATGCATTCAACAGCCAAATGTCATTTGGGGATTTTCTGTTTTTGGCAGTTGTGGTCCCATTGCTTCTCTTTAGCACCAAATTCCAGTTCATTAGATCAGTATGTTGTTTCTCTGTTTTGAAGCTTGCATTCTTATTTTTATAATCCCAGTGGTCTTATTTTTGTATCCTAGTATCTTACACACTTAGAAAAAAAACCCACCCAATTTTTTAGTGGCTTATTCACAATTAGATACTTGTTAAAAATGTTACCTTTTTTTTTTATGACTTGTATGTGTGTATCTCTGACCATTAAACAGCTTATTTGTGTAATGTTTAACTTTACTTATACTAATTAAATTTAATTTCATTTATATTTCTGAACTTTTTTTTTTTTCATATAATGCCTTTTAAAATAATGCTGGTTATTACTTTGGGACTGAAACTGAACTTTGGTCATGAAATTGGTTTGCAGTCCTTATTTTGGTGTGGTTTGGAACTTTGATCAATATAACTCATTTAAATGAATGCTTCGATAATAGCGCTGGAAGAAATGTCAGCCATCCTAATCCAAGCTTCTTGTTTTAAAAAGAGCAGCTAATACCTGCAGAAGTTAAAGTACATGGTCAGAGACTGATTGAGGATGAATGGAGATAAGAGTCTATTTTCTGAATTTAGTCAAGTGCTCTTTCCATTTTACTCTGTTGCCTCCCCAAAATTCTGTTTGTTAATAAGGAAGAGTAATTGCATTGGGTATAATCTGTGTATTTTATTGTGAACTCCCTTTCTTTCCCTTTTCATCTTATCTTAGTCTTACACTATAAATTAGATATTAAGCCCTAGTCTCATTTTGAGGCTGAATTCCTTCTCCTGGAAATTCTTTCTCATTGGTTAAAGAGAGATTATTCACTATGTGGAATAGTCTATTTGTTTGGAAGTTATGAAAGAAAAATGTTTATAAAGCACAGTGTATTTACTACCTGTTTTGGCTTAGGAAACACGACTTAACTTTCCTGTGCTTTCATTTCCTAATCTGTAAAATAGGGATGATAATGGTTCTTCATGGTACTCCTTTTGAGGATTGAATGAGCTAATGTAAGTAAATTGCTTAGAATGTGTGTAAACGGTTTAGGTAATACCTGTCACAGCAGACAGTGAAAATGTTAGCCGTTGACTTTGTGAGTTTTCTGTTCCATGTTGTCTTCCCTTAGGACTTGTCAGCCCGATGGTTGGGTTTTCCTTTAGTCTTATTCAGGAGGTTTGTTGATGCTTTTCTGAGAAACAGTAGGCCTCCTGTTTTTTTTTTTTTTTTTTTTTTTCTTTAAGNAATGTTAACTTTCATTGATTGTAGTTTTTTTTTTTTTTTTAAAGGATTTGGAATGCCCTGACAGATAATTACGGAAATGTAATGCCTGTAGACTGGAAGTCATCCCATACTAGGACCTTGCATTTGCTTACTCTGAATCTCTCAGAAAAAGGGGTAAGTTAGGATTTGCACCAATAGTTTCTGAATAACTGATTCTGATAATGGAACTAAAAAGTAGTGTTTCTATCTAACTGCAATTCATTGAGTTGCTTCTTATTTCCAAGCTTATGGCAAGTGAAGTGGTCTTCTTTTGCCGTCTTGGTTTTTGCTCCTGTCCACTTGCTAACTTTTCTC